GAGAGAGAGAGAGAAGAATTATAAATTATTATTTTAACATCCTCTCTTAATCTGTAATTCTCGTAATGTTTCTAAACTAAATGAATTTATTAATAGAGATTTCTTTTGTGAAAATATCAGCCACTTGCTCATTTGTGTTGATGAACTTTGGCTCTATTTCTCCTTTTTCAATCACCTTGCGGATGAAGTGATGTGGAATTTCAATGTGTTTTGATCAGCTGTGAAAGACTGGATTTTGGTCATGGCAATAGCTAACATATTATCACAAAATGATTGTTGGAGAATCTTACTTTTGGTGCAAATCTGATAAAATTCTTCTAAGCCAAACTGCTTCACATGCTGCAAATTTGAAAATTGCTTGTTTCAAATGTTACACTTGTTACAAGAATTTTCATGTGTATCATTTATTATCATGAGAGCTTGTAGAAGGGATCTTGCAACAAGGCCAAAAATGAACTAGATGTTGTTGACGGTCTTCGAGAGTTTGGAACTTGATATTAGAGGGAAAAAGTGCTTCCGGTTTGGGAGAGTGTAGGCACAATGTCATGAGGTAGGTGGATAAGGAGGGCAGGCATAATCTCATGAGGTAAGTGGATAATAGTCTTACACTGAGTGGTTGTGGGTAGTTGGAAGACTAGAGGATATTGGTGCCTAGTAGATTGTTCAGATACCCTATTAAAATGTTGTTGGATTAAATTTTGAACTAATTAGAGAATGGAAAACAGAAACAAATGCTTAAAGAGAATAGGATCTAAACAATGGGATGCACTGGAACAGTGTGTCCTTAATTACCAGAGTTAAAGGGGCAGTGGAGGTAAGGGCAGCTAGCAAATCATTGGAATAAGATTTGCCATTCTTCCCAGGAATCCGTGTGTAGATTGGGATGGACTACTCAGAAGATTTTTTCTGTCCATAACTTTCAAAAATAAAAATAAGGCTCAATGTATTCTTTTCGATGGATTACCACTTTCCCGGGCTAATATGCATTTATTCTTTTTTCAAGAACCAAAGCCGGAGGAGGTGGATCAAGCAATTATCAAATCCTCGGTGGGTATTGGTACAAAACAGTAGGAGTTAACATTAAAATGTCTCTAGGCTTCACATATTGATCTAGAGCCATTCCATAAGACATTGTCAATGAATATTTACTCCATGTAGGACGAGCTTTAGAAATGAAGACCAATGGGGAGGATTTGGCCATATGGGATGGAGGGACCTTAGTACTAAACTACCTTTCTGAAAAGCCACATGGTAGTAGCAGAATCATGACAAACTTGGAGAAGTATTCAGAATTAGAGGATTAAGAAAGCTGATAGTGCTACCCTTTGGTGGAGCTGCACATGTTTTGTCCAAGTACCCCGTTGACTTGGTTGCCACATCTCAAGTTTCTGGATGTGTCACAGTGATCCTTTTCTGGCCAGCTTCAAAGTTCAAACCATGTCCCTGTCCTAGATACAAAGTTAGATAATTGGGCCAAATATTGTTTTGGTTCATGAGTATGTTCACAGAGACACCAGGGTTCGAGGATACTGAGGGAGAATGATGGGGCTTCGGAAGAAATAAGAAGACAGCATTAGAATTTTTTTTTATTGGGAAAATCAGTGGGGGTTAGAACCCCCTACCCGTTTTAATTAATAAAGATAAAAAATATTGGAGAAGGGTAAGATAAGAAAGCATTATTAGATGCTAAAGAGAAGGTGGTATTGTAACCAAAAGATAAAGAGCAAAAGGCTTGGACGAAAGGAATTCCGGATTTGTTAAGGCAAACTAAATGTGGAAAAGGAGAAAGAAGTCCATGGTTATGAACTTAAGGGATGGAAGTACGAAAATGGGCTTTCTTTCATAGGATAAAGAGTACGAAAAAGAGGGTGGGCGTGGCATAAGAGAAGCCCAAAGCAAATAAAGAAGGAACAAGGAATTAAAAGGAAATAATGGAGCTTCATAGTGGATCCATCCTAGATTCTGGATTTTAATGTACAGCCTCAATAATCTGTGAAAGTGCTAAAGCAAGTACTCCAAGAGGGTGGAGGAAGAGGAAAGAGGAGAAAAAAGGAGTGATATCTGATATTCAGCATATCAGTCTGATTTCAAGCCTATACAAGCTGTCAGTCTGGGATTTTCTCTTGGAGACATGGAGAATAGGGGCCATTACATGCTTTAATGTAACAAAATCATTAGAGGTATGCACAGCACGGATGGAGCAGTCTTAGCACATGAGTGCATGAACTGAAGGCATACAACCTTGTGAACTAGGCTTCTTAGATAAAATGTTAGGTAAGATGAGTTTTGAAATTCTAGGAGGTGGACACAGGCGTTTGTTGCAAAAACCTAATTTTCCATAACCTCATTTTTAATGAACAGGTCAGGAATTTATGATAAGTTTTGGCAAAGTTTTATGAAAGGACATGGTTGGAAGTAGTGAGAAAAGATATGAGGGCCTACGACCTCACTAAGGGTATGACCCTTAACAGATTAGAATGCAGACCAGGATTCGTGTAACCAACCCCAATTAATTGGGAAGAGGCTTTGACGATGATGATGAATGAACAGGTCAGGAATTGGGCTGACTTGACTATAGCAGCTGGGTTTTCATAGCATTACGTCTCAAGTTCCATTCCTATGTAACCTTGTCCA